TATTCCTTTCTTACAAGGAAAGACTTTTCACAAGCAGGGAGAAAATTGCAACAAGTTACAGCTTTTCCCGTGGGAACCGTGGGAGGGCATTGTTTCCGCAGCTCCCGCGCAGGCTAATTACCCCATCGAATACTGTATTTAGATAATAATTCGGCGCAGATATAGGGCCAATAACTCCACAAAATAATTTTGTGTTCGTTCCAAATCGACTTCCAAGTCTGTTCGCCAGACGACCTGAAATGACGCGTCCCCTCCACGCAAAAATCGGCCCCAGGGGAAGAGGGACATGAACAGTTTTCTAGAAATTCCGTCCGCCATTTGGTCTTTTTTCGATATGAACAAGAGGTATTTCTTGATTGAGCGTTGCCCTTAAACGGGCAGCCCAATAAAAAATAGTCACCATGTAACGACCGTAATTGATACCGATGGTCATAATTTGAGAGCTAACACCATATAGCCCACCGTCCGAAGAAGAAGAAGTAGTTGTAGATTTCGTGTCGCATTAGCCTGAGTAGCAAGCTTTTCTGTTTGGTTTCGGAGCCAGGAAAGAACGAGGAACGGGATTTTACTCGCGCCATTTTTCCCTCGGTCTTTGACTCTCGTTCCTCGTTCCCGCACGAAAACGCCTGCTACGCGGGCTAGTGTCGCCACGTAGTCGAGACTTCATAGGGGTGTTTGTTACCCCCTTTGGATCAAGTGATGTCTCAGTTCTAAAAATGCTGTAGATGTGACTGTTATTTTTTTCCGAACTGTTATCAAATTTACTCATGTTATGCATTTTTAATATTTTATTACTTAAGGTTGAACTAGCCTGCGTAGCAGGTGCTTGGAAGTAAAGAAAGAACAGGCCGCGCGAGGAAGATATGCGAGGGGAGAGGGCTCCCTCTTCCCTTGCGTGCGTCCCTCGCGCGCTCAGTCGTTTTGGTGCCCATTACTTCCAAGCGCCTGCTACGCAGACTAAGGTTGAACCGCTCGCTCTGACCGCCGCCATTTTTGTCATCCTTTATTTCAGGTGCTCCTCAGTGTGACTATACAGTAGCTCTACCCAACAAGTCAACATCATTATTTGTATTCTCTTTAAAAACATAAAATGACTTAAACGGTTTAAATGGAAAATACAATTCTCAGAATGATGTACCAACATTTTGAAGTGTGATCGTACGTGTATGTGCAAAAAAAGAGACAAAAAAAAAAAAAAACACTGAAACTGATATAAATTCAATTTGATGAAAAGCGATCTGAAGTTGATATGTTATTGAAAATACAAGATTCAGGCAAAATGTCAGAGGCCGCGATACAGGAGCTTAAAAAGCAAAGATATAATCTACCTCGTAAACCCTGGCAGCGTCCGCTGCGGCCCCCCACGGGAATTGTCCGCCTAAGCCTTGTTTCCATGCATGGATCGTCCGGATCGTCCCGATCTTCCCAGTCATCTCAAATATTGTTCAGACGATCGCGACGATTATGTGGAAAGTCTACCCGGACGATCACAAACGACCCGGACGACTGAGACGACCTCGATCGCTTGGATAGAGTTGAGTTCTCGCGGACGATCGGGATGATCGTGTAAATTTTGAAGCGATCACATGGAAACGCTCTCAGACGACTGAGACGATCGGGACGATCGAAGGCTATCCCAGAAATCATCACTACTATTCCAGTAATCGAGAATAAATTCGGCCTGGACGCCGCTGAAGTTGAAAAAATAATGCAAAAGTGTTCGCATCGCGTATTGGCGCGATTTAAATCTAGAGAAAGTCAAGTTCTTCACGTGATACTATGTCTTCGTGGAACTCTCAGTCTTGCTTGTCGTCACAAAATGGAGAGAAAAGAAAGATAGCAAGACTCGAGGTTCGCTCTCCGTTTAAAATCCATCATCTGCATCATTTTGTTTGGCTTGTTTGCGAAACACGCGCAAAAATTCTGTTGTCTGACCCAGAGACATCGCTGACGTCCCCGGTCGCGTCTCTTCTCGTTGAGGCGATGGAGACGATCGTGTGGAAACCAGAAATCGCCCTAGTCGACGTCCAAATCGTCTCTAAATTTTTTGGAAATTACTGGGGCGATCCGGACGATCATATGGAAACCAGGCTTTACGGGAAAATGGATAGCCTCCCACGCAAACGTTCTTAGGGATTCGTCACGCGTTCCTACCCCACGTGAGAGAGGAATAATTGCGTGACGAACCCGTAAGAACGTCCGCGTGGGAGGCTAGAAAATGGATTGACTACCTGCTACTTATGACGTCATATCTCGTGTCCATAGTAACTGACCATCACTAAACTTGTCTCAAAACGCGCGTGAGGGATAAACGAACAGCTACAGAAAACTTCAGGTGCTGAGGTAGGTACTTACAGGTGCTTACGTAGGGGTGGCAACCACCCCCCACCCCACCCTTGTACGTCCGAGGGTTAATAGCTGACACATTTCCCATATTAAGTATCTCATTCCCATTTCAATATAGTTTCTCTCTTCCCTCTTAGAGTCACAGATAACAACATGGGGAAAATCAGTCAAATAGTAAATTTATTGAATTCTCTTAAACTGGTTAACTTTACTGACTTTGAAACAAATAACAAGCCTAGTATAAAGCAGAAGTTAAGGTGTACTGGACTTGGCTTCATTGGCTTCTTTTTGCACACTGTTATATTTTATCAATGACCACGTACGTATTAAACTGTAAAACAGCCCGACTTTTTGCTTTGGTTAAGAACGCGCGCGCAAGCGGTTAATCGAAAGGTGGGAAGGTGAAAAAGGGTGAGTGATACTGGGCCTACGAGCGTGTGATGCTCCCTTTGGGCCTTTGTATTACCGATTATGAGGGAAAAAAACCGACTGTTTTGCAGCTAACATACGAAGTAGTGCTTCACAAAGTAAAAAAAGAAAAAACCGTTTATAACAACTAATTCTAAAAATCTAAGTGTATAATATTAATAGGCTATCTCTGAGTCACCCCATGCTTCTGTACGTTTTTGAGCGAAATGATTTTGACAAAAATGACTGTTTTTACTCCCATGCAAATGAAACTTATTATCACAAAAAGGATTTACAATTAGCCTTGCTTGGAAAGTGAGGGTTTGTGGAACGCGGAAATTGCCCGTAGATAACGCATATTTCATCTTGATTAAAAACATCAATTACGAAAATATAAATTAGCTAAATACAGTAAAACCAGCGTCTAAGAACCTGCGTTAATAGGTTCTTATTTTCTGAAGAAAAAATACATTGTATTCAATCATTCCTTTGTAAAACCCGCGTACCATGACATTGCAGTTGGAGCTATAAGGCTTCTATCTCTGAAAAGAGGACCCTAAATGTTGACTTGTTTCACTTGCACAACGGCACAGATTTATGGATTTTTAACAAAATAAGGCCCTGTTTCAAAGTTTTGGCTAAACAGGTTCTTGTGTAGAGGAGACCTAACTGGTAAATTAGCCTTACATGTTCTTAAAAACCGGGTTCTTAGTCGTGGGTTTTACTGCAGTTTATGTATTGTTCAAAACACGCGCTGTGAGTGATTTGAACAGCTACCAAAACGTGCCCTTAGTATTTTATTTCAATAGGATTCTTAATAATGTATTGAAAAAGGAAAAAGCTGTAAAAATAACAAAGGCTACATTGGTCAAATACTATGCAAATAGATTAAACAACCCAAGTACTCAGCCCCAAGGGAGGGGGGCTACTTAACAAGGTTAGGGTCCGCCCCGTGGTCCAACCCTTTACCAGCTTTTATATACCATTTTTGACAGAAAAGGTACCCCGTACTGGGAAATGATATGCCTTTCACATACCTAGTTAACGCTGCATTCCTTTAACTGCTGTAAATGTACCATCCTTTAAATATGAAATGCTAGCTAAACTATGCTTGACGCCCAAAAATGGTACCCTTTTCTCGCGGAGCCTCCCTGTGTAGTGCATTGTAGGGAGTACCCCCACCCCTCAGGTAACACAGTTTTTTAAGGCGGCTATGTACCTTTGCAATACGGCTCTCCAAATGAAAGACATTTGAGGAGTTTGATGATAATCATACGGAGGAAAAAAAATTGCTCGAGGAAAGTGTCATTTCCATTGGGCAATTCCTCAAGTTCATTAAACAATTAGCGTGCCTACTGAATATTAATGAGTTAATATTTAAGCTACTACGAGGATATTGCTGTTTTAGGTCCATCTCTGCTCCCGTAGAGTTATGAAGAAGATATAATAATGATAATAATAATAATAATTTTTTTGGATAGCATTTTATAACTTGAAAATGTTGGCTCAACTTTTTCAAGTCAATCCATATTCATCCTTGCCAACCCTTTGCAACAACAACAGGAAACGTTTTCAACGCTTAAATGGCATGTAATGTAAAAAAGTTGCAACAAAACTGGACCATCATGGTATTCGAAATCACTTGATGCGAAGAGACAGCTTAGCCATTTTAAAAAGATATTAGCATTGGAATAGTGTGACGTTGCCCCTTGAAATGAGTAACAGCTTCTGAATATGTATTTATAAACTTTGTAGAGCGATTTTCGTATGACCTTGAAATGAAAACGCGCGAACAAAACACGAAACAATACACCAACGGAATTAGAGCGATTTGATTGGTTTATCGAACGGATACAAACGCGCGTGGCTTTTGGTTGGTTAAGCAAACGCACGGGTGAAAAAACTTCATGCCCGAGAACTTTCCGGAAATCAATCAATACTTTGCTTTGACGTCATACTGCAACACGATTGGCCAATCGAACAACACCTTCTCCACATTAAGGTTTTCTTTGGCAGGAAAACGAAGAGTACATGTTTTGATCTTTGATAAAAAAATAACGAACACTTCCCGAAACCATTTTTTTGAGGTCATAGGAAAATCACTCTATCCATATAAAGTTAGTAATAAAACTATGCATTGAACTACTATTTTCAAGAGGTCTTTCATGCAACAAAAGACCAATAGTTGACATGACATAGTGATTGGTCATCATTTGAACTTACAATAAAGTCTTAGACAAGGTAAATTAACGGGCTTGAAGAGGAATAGCAGCATTTTCTCTTTGTCGGCGTTTAAATAATATCAGGAGAGCCTTTCTGAACGCTGGTATTCTGATTGTGTAAATAATGGGATTAACAAGCGAGTTTGTGTGGTATAGAAGAGAAAAATATAATCTCAAGCGTTTATCTGTCAGGAAAGAAACTCTAACTAGATCAGAAGAGAGAACAAAAGTATATACAACAAATGGTAAACACAACAGCAAAGATACAATGGTCATTATGAATAATGTGACAGTCAGTTTTCTTTGTCTATTGGCCGCACCATGTGACGGGGGACGACTTCCACACCAAAATTTTAAAGCAATGGAGGTGTAGGAAACACAGATAACAACAAGGCAAAGGCAACAATATGACCGCCATAAGTAGAAAGGAAATACCAATTGCCACTGTTGTTGCAAGTTCCCATAGAGACGTATTAACGGAAAGGGAATTACTATCATGGCAGTTAAAGTCCAGACGCCCGCAATTGTTACCCCGTAGGCCCATTTTTTGATGTTGCGATGCCTGAATGGACGAAACGTCGCATGCATCCGATCTAAAGAAATCGCTACAATGCCTGCTACAGAGGTGATAGAGAACCAAATCCCGGTCAAGGAAGGTACAAACATAATAGGTGGCAATTCCTGCAAGATCGGAAATACATATTTAACTTCGCAACCGTGGAGGAGGAAATAAACTACTACATAGAAAGTGGCATTTCCTCCAACAAACATATCAGCCACGGACAAGTTTATAACCAAGTACATGGCACGAGTCCGAAGAGTACTGTTCTTTATATAAAGGATAATGGATAGGAGGTTCACTGCAACCACAGCAACAGCTATAGTAAGGATTACAGCATACCATGTGCTGCACTCGGCTGAAGAGAGCATCCTGGAGATCAATGTTTTCTTTTTAATTCTCTTTTCTCCTCCCTTCAAAAAGAAATCGAATAAAGTTTGGTTAGTTGAAAAAAGGAAGTTAATTAGAGGGTGGACTAAGAGGACTGAAGAATGGAGGTTGTACATTGACAACAATTCTTTAATAGAGTGCTCACCTTAACTTTAATTTCTTGATACTTTTATTAACGCTGAAAAAAACCCGTGCTTTCACCTGTGGAAAGAAAAAATCAAAAGCAGCGGTTGAGAGGAGAGTAAAATGAATAGGTTGACTGAAAACTGGGGACAAAAATATATATTTTAATTTTAGCTGTTATTGTCGGCGCTCATTGAACTGCAGGTCACTAAGAAGTAACTGATCACCTGGTAGAAAGTTTATTGTCACTGGGAAGGGGCGGGGGGGGTACTCTAGAAAGGTTTATACGGGAAGGCTCCACCCCGAGGTCCAGCCCCTTACCCTTTTGTATACCATTTAATTATGACAGAAAAATTACCTCTATCACATACCTAGTTTGGAACTTTGCATACATTTTTAACTGCTGTTCTGATCCAATGTCCTTTAAACTATGAATAAATCACAAATCAACAACGTTATTTTATTTTTTTTTTTTTTCTTTTTCACAGCCATGTATTTGTTAACCCTATTCGGGCCTTTTTTTACAGACCGAAATGATAGATTTTCCTACTTTTTCATATACTTCAGCTACTAAATCCTCACCCTCTTATATACATGAAGCCCAAATAAGGTATTCCTTTAGGTGGAGCCCCCCCGTATAGGCCATTGTAGGGAGTACCAACCCCCCCCCCCCCCACCCCCGAGGTACGTTTCAAGAATATTTCCTCAAACTTGAATAAGTCATAAAATATTTACAAAGAGACTGTATCGTATCGCACACTAATTGTGCCAATAAAAGTCAATTAACTTCCAAGTTATCGTACCTCGTAAATATCTTTGAATGAATATTAAAAAAGCGAATAATTGAAGAAACTTTATCCAAGCTTCTTTTGTATACGAAGTCCGATAAAGAAGTTCGCTACTACAACCCTTCTGCCCACTGCAACGTGCAACGATTAACCAAGTTATTAACCGAATGGTAGGCCTGTTTTTCAGACCTCCTATAGTGTAAACAAGATACAATTTCTTTGTTTAATTCTGCCAAACCTTTCAGAAATATTGTCGCTGAGATAAACTTGTCAATATGAACTTCCTTTCTGATGACTCCAGTACGTAGAACGAACAAAATCTTTTATTACAGCCTCCCACCCTGTGCCGGGAACTAGGTAAGGGATGTGCGCGCTTTCCTGTTCATGGCGGGTATCGCCATTATTTACGCCCTAACTGTCTCAGGCGAGTGCTACCTGTGCTACCCATTCTTGCTAACAGCTGCTTTCTGTTAGCTTCCTGTAACCGTTTATAGGTTTGTAACCACAATTATTTTTTTATGTCAGTTTCCCGTTAAAGGATAGGGACTTTGAAGCAAACGAAACATATTTTTCAAAACATGTGGTCAACATCCTTTGATGTTTTGTTCGATATTGCATATGTTTGGGTTGTTACTTGGTATTTTCTTACTTATCTTCTGTTGAATTTTAAAACGCTCGATGATCTAGTCTTATTCAAAACCTAAAAAGATGAAGATATTTTTCAAATTTCTAGTTACAAAAGAACACACAAAATATTAACAGTAGCTTCTTAAAACCTCTTGCTGCAAGGTATGGCAAATTGTATCTTCTTAAAATCTTCTCTTTTGCAAGGTATGGAGAATTTAAGCTTCTCTTTAAAAGAAAGACAAAATTCAGCGAGGTTTAACTTTGCAGCGGTGACTATTAGCAACATGACCTCGCGATCATGAGAGGAGAGGAATTGTTTTTTTGTCACAACAACTTAGCGCTTACCTTTCCAACAAATACTGAGCTGCTTGGTTGTCTTGAAGGATATCTTGAAGGAAGCAGAGAGCTGAAAAATGTTTGCTCAAGTTTGCAACGGATTCATTCCCTGGACTGACGTCAAGGGGTTCTTTGTTCAACGTAAACGTTTTGAATCATAAGGATAAACTTTCAGTGAAAACGGTTCAAATCAATAAATGGTGTCCTTTCCTCAATTTCTCACCCTTTTAATAGCAAGAGTGAACGTGTCGCTTGAGTTAATGTTCTAAACAGTTCTGACAGTTGCAGCTGTAATAGTCTATTAATTAGCCCTATATTTTTTTGAGTTAAGTTTAACCTCATGAATAAGCGGCCACCAATTAAGTGGCCAGTAATGAAAGTCCCAAAATAATTGTAGAATTATGTTCGCAAGGTGCGTCGGACGATTTTTTGACCAGTTGAAATTTACGCCTTTAGGTTTTCTGTTCACACGGAACTACCTTAACCGTACAAAGAAATCAGACGTCTAGCAGTTGAAAGTCCCGTATGAACGAAATGTCCGGTCAAAAATTTGTGCGTTAGAGTGTGGCCTCGATCCTCTGCAGGCATCACTCTCCTGTATTAATGGGGAGAGAAAGGGGAGTAGCAATGCCTCACTTTCTTTCATTCTTTTCTCGTTCGCAGACTCCTCACGGTCAGAGTAACCAAGCAAACCTAGAGTACATAGGGTGGGTTTCCGCTAACGCGTAAAATTATTTAGGCGCTAAACAAAATACAGGCAATGTATTGAAGGTCGTGCGTAAACGTAAAAGTTAATTAAAGTAAACTAAAAAGCGTCGCCGCTTTCATCCGGAGAAATGGCTATTGTTCTTGCGACATTTAATTGCATTCTCCAGGTGAAAGCTTCTTGGTCTGTAACATCGCTTATTGTTATTCTCAAATGCTGAACAGGAGTCTTTTTCATTGGTTACCATAAACGCTATTTTACGGATCCAGTCCGGGTCAGCGAATAGATAACTGACTTTTAAAAAGATGTGTTGAAAATTGTAGTTTCGATTCCTCGCATTAGAGTTTTGACGGAGCTCTGACTGATTACTCTGAGTAAGACGGCACGTAAATTTTACGCGCGTTCGCAAGTAGATTAAAGTTACGTGGCAGTGGAAAGCAATCCTAAAGGTTGTTCAACTGTTCTTGGATATTAGCTTACTGTGAATTTTAACCTTGAATTTGACATGTATTATCATATGAACTCGTGTACTGAGTATACCTTTTTATGAAACTTTCAAACTTCATTTAAATACTAAAAAGTCTCAAATGTTATTCGGAATAATTGCTGATTCCTTTTTTCTTTTGTTCGAGCAAAAGCAAATATAAATTATTAACTGCTCTTTATTTAACAAATACTGAGATCAATGCGATCAACGCGATCAATGTTCCCTTTTTAAGCGACACAACGACTAATTCATCCAGACTACCATTGTTATAATACGAACGTGTATAATGAGTATAGTCTTATACAACTCGCAAACTTCATTTAAATAGTAACAAAACCCACATATTATTTAACATAATTGCAGCTTCCTCCTAGCTATTTTTCGTTCTAGCAAAAACAAATATAAATTATTAACAGCAAACTGCTTTTTAATTAACAAATAAGGCGTCCCTTGACTGTGCTCTGTTCTGTTGTAACTGAATCACGCCGAAAGCCGCTAGAGTACGAAAGAAGTGTAGGGGTAAACACGAGACGTAGTCGAAAAGAGCTCAGTCAAGCCTTCGTTATATATTTGTTTCGTGATAAAGAATCCTTTAAATTCCCCACGCGTTGCTTTCTAATTTTCAAAACAAACTATTGGCAGATGAAGTGACAGTTTTAGGTCCGTTTTTTATACTCTCAAGCTCTCATAAAGCACTTTTCTTCAACCAATCAGAGAGCGCGTTATAGCTGGACTAAGTTCTAATTGTTTATTAATAAAAACAAAGTTACAGCAAATGTAGAAGCACAGGTGGCGTCAGTGAAACGGAACATTGGCAATAACACGCCAAGATCAAAAGCCAACTACTGTTTGCGTCCTCTGCTGTCGTCAAGTTTAATTCCATGAATTAAAATCGAAAAGTTCATGGTTTGTGATGTGTGATTAGTGGTTTCAATCCATTTTGTGAGTTTCTATGTTTCAAGGTTTGTTGCTTGTGATCGTAATTATGATTGACGGTAGCGAAAAACGTAATTCGAACAAGTTGGCTCTTAAACTTCATAGTTCGCGTCTTATGAATGGTTTTAAGGGTCTTTTAAAGTGCGCGCGCTAATGGGACCAAGCCTACGCAGACGCATTAAGTCATTTAAACTTTTCGATGCATTAGGACCATATGATTAGAAAGATAACTACTTTTGTCTCAATTAAGGAGTTTCAAACGTCATAGCACTTAAGCATTTATCCGTGGGATGAGGTAATTTAATTTGAAACATCCTGTTTCCTTTTTGTTCCGGAACAAAAATGGTGGTCGCTTCTTGTTCAGCCTTGTGTGTATCATTGTGCACTTATAAGTTTGGATTATCCAACTTAGTGTAAACTAAGGCAAAAAATACTGGTCAGCCCTGTAGGAGAACTATGGCCCGCCATGTGTAAAAAAATTCCGAAATCTCGGAATGGTTCCGAAAATTTCCCAATGATTCCGAAAGTTCGGAATGGTTCCCAAAATTCGGGATGGTTTGGATTTGCGAAATAATTACGAAAATGTCGTAATACTTTCGACTTTCGAAATATTTTCGAAAATCGCTCGTAATGCTGCCGAAACACTTGACGCTGAACATAGAAAGGAGACTGGAAACGACTGTGGAAACACCCATCATCTGCACTTCGTGCAACAAATTATTGCCTAATTTGTTCCTAATTTTTTCTAGGAAAAAGTTCATTATTTTATATTGAAATTTTTATTGCAACACAGACGAAGCTATTTTTTAGTTATTTTAACGTTTTAATATTTTACAAGTGCCAGCTATGACTAGGATATTCGTAATATATATTTTAAAATATTTGTAATCTAAGAAATACTTCACGGCGCGGGGGTTGGTCACAGTCAGACGCCCAACTTTTTTTTTCTTACTAATACTGGGCATCCCCACGTAAGAAACTGCCAATTAATAACAGCCTAAATACTATAAATGGAAAATGCTCTAAACTGCTAATCATCCGCACTTACTGCGCTTTTCACAAACATGCGAACTCTAAAGTTCAAAAGCCACCTTCACAATTGAGTTTTTCGCTGCCGTCAATCATAATTACGATCACAAGCAACGAACCTTGAAACACAGAACACAAAACGGATCGAAATTCCCCAATCACAAATCAGAAACCATGACCTTTTGAACCAGTTAAAGTAAAGTTTTGTGTCCTAAGAGGTCCGTTAAGATGATTGACGGAAGCGAAAAACGCAATCGTCAGTTGGCTTTTGAATTTCAGAATTCGCATGTTTGTGAAAAGCGCAGTAAATAAAAAAAATTAAAGGGTTTTTATAAGGAACGCTTTAAATTGTAATGTTATTTATATGGAGACCCGCTGCTACGACTTTTAATCCAACATTGGTAGCAAGTTCCATAAGAAGCATCAAATGCTAATGCACGACTACCAAGGTGTAGAGAACTTTGTTTTAAAAACAAAGAGGATGA